GCACCCCCCTACTGGCTGCCTGAAGCAGCCACTCAGCCCACACCTCCCCCCTCACGGCTCTGGCCATCTTCTAAGCCAGAAGCATCCTGGGGGGGGGGGTGTACACAGTGCTACCATGGGACCCCGCAACTCCACTCCCCAGCACAAGGCCAAGGACGCGGATGCCCACAGCTGCCAGATCCCCAAAGACAAAAGGGTCCAGCGGGAAAAGTCAATGTGACAGATCCACGTAAAAAGTATAAGGTTCAGCTACACCGAGGAATAAGTGACGGATGGAAGGGAGAGTTGTGCAACACTGTGACTGTACTTAATGTCACTTAATAGTACACCTCAAAAAGGTTAAAGCAGCTAATTTTTATGTTACAAATACTTTGCCACAAAAAAATTTTTTTGGCAGAGTCAAGGATTGAACCCAGGGGTGCTCTACTACTGAGCTACATCCCAGCCCTCCTAATCTTTTCTTTTAAGATAGGATCTCGTTAACTTGCTAAGGGCCTTGCTAAGTTGCCAAGGCTGGCCTCAAACTTGCAATCCTCCTGCCTCAGCCTCCCAAGTAGCTGGGATTACAGGCCTGTACCACTGCACCTGACAGCCACAAATTTAAAAAAAAAAAAAAAAAAGGAATGAAGCCGCAATCTTTGCTACTTCAAAAACACGGTGCTGAGTGACAGAAGCCAGACACAAAGGCCACATGGCGTATAATTTCATTGATATGAAATGTCCCAAAGAGGCAAATCCAGAGAGACAAAAAGCCGATTAGTGGTGCCAGGGGTTGGGGAAGGGGAGTGGGGAGTGACTGCTAGTGGGGGTGGGGTTTCCTTTAGGGGCACAGAAGTCGATGCTGGGCGTGCAACTGTGAATATGATCACACCACTGCAAGGTGGGCCCGACGCTGTGCAGAAGGACAGTAGTCCCTTGGCATCCCAGGGGCCTGGATGCAGGACGCTCCCAAAGGAAACCAAACCCACAGATGCTCAAGTCCCTGCGTCGCCTCTGCATAGAGCCAAGGCACTTCTTTCTGCAGAATCTTCCTCATCTCTCCATGACTTCTGACACCGACACGACGAAATTGCTGGGAAAAGTCACCGTACTGTATTGTGTGGGGAACAAGGACAGGGAAAAGGTCTGTACGCGTTTGGTTCAGATGCAATTTTCATTTTCCAAAGATTTTCAATCCCCTGTTGGTGGAATCTGAGGACACTGAGACCGGGGACGCGAAGGGCCAACTGTGACAGGAATAAGCAACAGACGGGCCGCGGCTGAGCCTCGCGGGCTGTGTCCCCAGGGTGAAATCCAGGCCTTGCACCCTCCTCTTCTCCCCTCTCCACCCACGCGCACTGTCCCCCCCGCCTCTGAGTGGGCAGCCTATGTCGCCCTCCGTGCCCCCAGCCGTCCCCTCCCAGCACACCGCTCCCTCGCAGTGACAGCCTCCTTCACTTGATTCCTTCTTCTCCCCCCAAATCCACATCAGCTCCCCAAAAGCACAGCCCTGGTGGACCTTGAAAACCACGAGGTCACCATACACCCAACACAGTCCCTGGGACACACTAGGCAATAAAAATTGTCGTTGCCCCAACTTTACAGGCCTGGATTCGAGGCTCAGAAAGGTTGTGAAACCTGCCCTACGCCACACAGCAGAGCGCCACAGCTCTCCCACAGGAAGGAAGGTAGCAGCTCACCCAGCTCAGGCCTGCACACCACACCAGTCCCTCCACCCAACACCCTGGGGTCCCCCGACAGGGACGTACTCATCTGGGTAAACCCCTGCAGATCAGCCTCCTCCGCCTGCAAGCACCTCAGGCCAGCCCACCATCGCCACGGGGAGCCAGGAGCACACACAGGAGGGGGCTGGCCGTCCTTAGACCCACGAGAGGAGCAGGCGCTGACCCGGCCACTCAAGTCCATCCACAGGTGTGAGGGAAGCCCTGGTGTCTGCTGCAGGAAGGAGCTCGACACAACCCGGCCACCGAGGAGCGCAGGCGGGGACCTGTGTCGGGTGAGCCCCACACCTACAGGCCACACAGACACACCATGGCCATCAGGCAGAGTGCCTGCTCGTCCTGGTCCCACCTGCCCAGGCGGCACAGCCCACGGCTGCACGCTCAGCACTGAATTCTACCCAGCAGGGTATAAGGCTCGAACCCCGAGCACCTCCGGGTCACTCTCCAGTGGGAGGCTTCTCCGCCTTGGAAACCTGGAGCCAGACTGCTCTCTGGGTGGGGTGTGCTGTCCACTGAGGGTTCTCAAGAGCATCCCTGGCCTCCATCCCCAGTGCCAACAGCCTCCCTTAGTCAGGATGATCAAAACATCTCCAGATATTGCCAAGTGTCCCCTGATTCTGCCACCCCCCACTAGTAGAAAACATTGCTTTGTCTCTAAAAGTTTGTTGTAAACGTACCTCAGCCTGGAGTCCAGCCCCCCGCCACCCAATGTAAAGAATGCAACAGAGCGCGCAGTGGGAGATGGAAAATGGACACCAGTGTGGACAGAACCACCAGATGCATACTCTAAAAATTTTTTCTAAATTCACTAACCAATGAATGGATAAACAAATATGATGTGTCCATCATAGGAATATTACTTAGCCATAAAAAAGAATAAAGCACTGATACACGCTACAACACAGATGGACCCAGAAAATGTCAGGCATGCCTGGCGAAAGCCAGACACACAAAGCCACACAGTGCAGGATTCCATTGATTCAAAATGTCCAGATTGGGCAAATCCACAGACAGAAAGCAGATTAGTGCTGCCAAAGGCAGGGGGAGAGGGGAGAATGGGCTGTGACTGCTAATGGGGACAGAGTTTTCTTTTAGGGCAATGAAAATAATCTGGAATTAGTGGTCACCGTCACACAACTCTATGAATTAACCAAAAATCACAGAACTTTTTCACTTTAAGCAAGTAAATTGTGTGATATATGAATTATATCTCAATAAAGCTGCTATTTTTATCTTTTTTTTTTTTCTTTTTGTAATCAAGGGCACTGAACTCGGGTGCTTTACCACTGAACTACATCCCCAGCCCTTCTTATTTTTTATTTTGGGACAGGGTTTTGCTAAGTTGCCGAGGCTGGCTTTAAACTTTCAATCCTTCTGCCTCAGCCTCCCAAACCACTGGGATTCCAGGTGCCCGGCTGGAGCTGTTCTGTTAAAGAAATCTTTTCAACAATAGTCCATTTCCAGCCCCATGCAGAAACCAAACTTCCAACCATGATGACACCACAAACCTAGTATGACCCCTTGCTTCCTGTCACACTACAAACATTTGACACCATGTGCTAGAGATAAGCCGCATACACTCCTGCTTCAGTTAATTGACCTGTGGGTGCCACTCACTCTCTTTCTTCTTCCACTCATTCATTCGTTTGCCAGCCACCTCTTTCTCCACATCCTAGAGGAGAAACAGAAGGGGCCCCGCTCCCTGAGCAGGCTCTTGCAATGTCTGCCGACATAGCACCAATCTGCTCTAAATGTGTACACAGAAATGAAGACACACATCCTAGCCTGCAAGGCCACCTTCTTGGAGAGAAACAAGCATCTAATTATAAAAGATCACGACCCCAAAGTTCCACCTGAGGAATCAGAGATGGAGGTAAGTCTACCTGCACCAGTCAGATCAGTAGCCGAATCCAGAAACCAGGGGTGTGGGTGCCTGCAACTCCCACACCCACCTCCTCTTAGATCCCACAGTGCAGGATGGGGTCTCACCACTGAAGGACCTCAGCAGACATTTGCAGCCACCTGTGCACAGCATGCTCTCCTCCTTGACCCCCGAGGAAGGTCTTGCTAGACACACTTGAGAGGAAACTAAGGCCATGATCACGGGCCTACGAGAAGAGCCGCTTCAGACCCCACTGCCAACACACCCTGCTCCAAGCCCGTGGCAGCTTCCCAAGTGAGCCTGGCAGAACCTGGCCTGCTCCTGGATGCCACATGCACCCAGCCACCTAGGGCAGACCTATCCTCCCACCCTCATCCTGAAAGGGCCCCCGTCCCCCTAGGAGACCATCACCAGGTCCCCAAAAGTTCCAGGACTCAGCACAATTTGCCTTCTTAGGTCCCATCAGGACCAAGTGAGGGAGAGCATCTGACCTTTCCCTCACCTGTTCAGGAATGAGAGATACCTGTCCCACCCCAGGTCCACAAGTGGGGACGTCTGTCCCTCCCCAACACCCAAGAAGGGCACAGGTGACCGTGATGTAGAGGCACCTCTCCCCCTCGGGTAGCAATGCTGTGAGAGCACCTGTACTCCAACGCCCAGGTAAAAACGATGCCGACAAGCAGCACTCAGCCCCTACACCTCAGCGTCATCCTGTCCCCCCAGGTAGCAGTGACACGGGGACAGCTGTCCCCTCCAGGTAGTAATGATAGGCGGCATCCGTCCCCCTCAGGTAACAACTGATGTAGTGGTACCTGTTCCCTCCTGGTAGTAACGATGTAGAGCCCCTGTCCCCTCCAGGTAACAATGATGTAGTGTCACCTATCCTCCTAAAGTAGCAATGATGTGTTGACACCTGCACACCTCAGGTTTCTAGGATGTGGGGGTACCCGTCCCGCCCACGACGCCCGGGGCACAGGGACACCTGTCCCCCTCGGGCCGTGCCAAGCCCCGCCTCCGCCACGCGCGCCCCGCCCCCGCCGCGCGCCCCGGACTGGCCTCCGCCGGTCAAGCCGGGCCTCGGTTTCCCCGTCTGGGGCCCAGGCTGCGCACTGAACGACTCCAGCCTGGACCCTCCCCGCGGGTGCGCCACCGAGGAGTGAGGAACCACCCAAGGGGTAATTTCCACTCGGGACGGGCCGAGCAGATCCAGCCAGCGCGGGAGTGCACCGCAGGAGCAGA